TGTGTTGTGTGTGTGTGTGTGTGTGTGTGTGTGTGTGAGAGAGAGAGAGAGAGAGAGAGAGAGAGAGAGAGAGAGAGAGAGAGAGAAGAAGAAGAAGAAGAAGAAGAAGAAGAAGAAGAAGAAGAAGAAGAAGAAGAAGAAGAAGAAGAAGAAGAAGAAGAAGAAGAAGAAGAAGACACATACACACACACAGAGAGGGAGAGAGAGAGAAAGAGAAAGAGAGGGAGGGGAGAGAGGGGGGAGAGAGAGAGAGGGAGGGAGAGGGAGAGGGAGAGGGAGAGAGAGAGAGAGAGAGAGAGAGAGAGAGAGAGAGAGAGAGAGAGAGAGAGAGAGAGAGAGAGAGAGAGAATGAATGCATCTTGTAATTATTCAACCTTGGCTGCTGGAAGCAGAAAAAGGACTTTCTGCCTCTAAGGTACTTATGACATTCTGTTAAATACTGTTAATCACTGCCGTTTAATCAACTTATTAGCACTTTGAAAAAGTTTCCTTGGATTTATGAAATAAAGGGGAGGGGGGGGTTTAACGCCACATTCAGCACAGCCGAGGAGCACAAGGCAGCTATTGATCAAACTCTGCCGAGTAAATTGGGAGACAAAGACACTTTTGTCAAGTTTAATACTATCGTATAACCGTACACCGAGCACATAATCAGCAAGGTGCTAGGAGAGGCTGAGATTCTGGCATTCCCACAAAATCTCCGCGCACACTGAAGGGTTCACAGGGCCCCTCCAGAAGCACTCGGCACCTTTAAAAAAAAATCCAGCCAATTTAACCAAAGTTACCTTTTTCAAGGGGAACCGGCGGAGGAGAACTCTTTCAGCCAAACGGCATCTCCATTTACAGATTTATCTCGTAAATGGCAGCGTTTATAGCTGCACTGAAGTTGAAGCTTCTCCCGCAGTTTTATTGATTGATTTAGCACACGGCAAAAATGTTTAAAGGCGCATCGCAGTTGCATTCCCAATGAGCAAACTTGAAACTATGTGCTCTATTTACAGATTCAAAGGTAGACTTCTTCCTACAGTCAACTCATGATGGAGTTGCATAGAGAAAAGTTTCTGGGTTTCCCCCCCCCCCCCCCGACATGTTTTCGGAGGGCACTGCTCCACAATATATCACACTGTCTGTTTTGGAGCATCACAGCTACATCCTGAAGAGGAGAACTTTCCCCATTTATGGAGGAGAGACCGGGGCACCCAAGGGTGGCATGGTGGTTCAATGGTCAAGAAGCTGGGCTTGACAGCTGGGAAGTCAACAGCCCAGGTTCGAGAGCCGAGCATCATGCGACAGTATGAGCTCCTGTCTTCGCCTAGCAGCTCAAAAGCATGCAAATAAGGTTTTTAAGAAAAGACTGGACAGCTACTTATCTGAAATGGTATAGGGTTTCCTGCTTGAGCAGGGGGTTGGACTAGAAGACCTCCAAGGTCTCTTCCACCTCTATACTGATTGATTGATTGATTGATTGATTGATTGATTGATTGATTGATTGATTGATTGACTGATTGAGCAGAAAGTCTGTGCACACTGAAGGGTTAGGGTCACCATGATGTAAAGAAGATGTTGAGACACTAGAAAGAGTACAGAGAAGAGCAACAAAGATGATCAGAGGACTGGAGGCTAAAAGGAACAGTTGCTGGAATTGGGTATGTCTAGTCTAATGAAGAGAAGGACGAGGGGGGACATGATAGCAGTATTCCAGTATCTCAGGGGCTGCCGCAAAGAAGAGGGAGTCAAGCTATTCTCCAAAGCGCCTGAAGGCAGGACAAGAAGCAATGGATGGAAACTAATTCAGGAGAAAAGCAATCTAGAACTAAGAAGAAATTTCTTGACAGAACAATTAGCCAGTGGAACAACCTGCCTCCAGAAGCTGTGACTGCTCCAACACTGGAAGTCTTTAAGAAGAGACTGGACAACCATTTGTCTGAAATGGTATAGGGTTTCCTGCCTGAGCAGGGGGTTGGACTAGATGACCTCCAAGGTCTCTTCCAGCTCTATATTGATTGATTGATTGATTGATTGATTGATTGATTGATTGAGCAGAATGTCTGTGCACACTGAAGGATTCACAGGGCCTCTCCGGAAGCACTTGGCACCTTAAAAAATCCACCCAATTTAACCAAAGTTACCCATTTCAAGGGGAACCAGCAGAGAAATCTGTCAGCCAAACGGCATCTCCAATTACAGATCTATCTTTTAAATGGCAGAGTTTATATCCACACTGAAGTTTGTGGTCATAGGTTATACCTGTATTTGTTCAAGTGCTCTGGTTTAAATGCCTAACTTGATATGATCCCTGCTGTTTTCTACTATTTGATTCGGTCCACGTTCCTGGTCCCCTCTCCTTCCACTTTTCTTCCATTGGTGTTGATCTTGGGATGAGGTACACCATATATTAGACTTCTGGAAGGGCAGGTAATTCATGAGAAATGTTCTCTCTTAATTCCTTACCATTATGGAGCAGGATGAGAATAGGAAATAAATCGGATAGGAATACACAACACAACATCAGCCACAAGCTACAAAGGAGCTAAGGAACGTGAGATGTTGGCAGATGATTTGGCCCAAGTCTTCCTTCCCCAATCTACAATGCCCAAAAGCTTCAGACAGCATGCAAGGGATTCTGGGAGTTGTAGTTCATCAGCATCTGATACAACAGAGCTTCAACAGCCTTAATCTAATCTAAAGTTGTTCACAGCACGTTCTATCGTGATATAGGTCCCATCACGTATGGTTTCCTTAGCCCGGGGGTAGGCAACCTTGGCTCTTTTATGACTTGTGGACTTCAACTCCCAGAATTCCTGAGCCAGCATGGCTCACCTTGGAAACCTCCCCCTTTCCCCTCAGCATGGCTGTCTCAGGAATTCTGGGAGTTGAAGTCCACGAGTCATAAAAGAGCCAAGGTTGCCTACCCCTGCCTTAGCTCATCACGTTGCTAACAAGTTGTCATCTTCTGTTCATATCTACTAAAGAGGTAAAGGTGACTCAGGGCAACTACCCACGAATACACTACCTCACACTGAAACTCCTGTCCCCTTATCCTCCACGTAGAAGACCCCCATTTTCCAAGCTATGGCATCTAACAGGACCATAACAGTTTCGCACATTGGGACAAGAATTCGCACAACGTGAATTCACGAACAAAGGTGAATGTCTTCCCGAGCCACAGCATACTGTGGCTTGCTTACTCTGTGCAAAGAAAAGAGAGATGATTGAAATAAGTCCGTCGCTAACAAATCAGGTCCAATGGAAGGAGGTGTCACGTTGGCTCAAATACACACACAGAAACACAGAGTAGATGCCTTGGAAATACGGATCTGTGAGAAAATGTGGCACGGAGATTGTCAGGGTTCGATTTCCTTGGCTCCCGATCAGCAGTTTAATTATAGTAACTTTTCAGCCCACTTAAAGTGCTCGAGATAAGCCCTACGATAGCAAAATCGCCTCGCTTGGTCCGTTTGACCCCCCCCCTTCTTTTTCTTTTTTATTCTTCCATCTCTCCTACCTCCTCCAAATATCCAGAAAGATACAGAGGGAGGAACAAACTACTTGCCCCAGGAAAAAAACCAAATGTTTTGCAAATATATAGCAAAGCTGCAGGCGTTTTTTGAAAAAAACTAAGCTCCCAAAAGGAATTAACTCTAGGCATACCTACCAGCCAAAGTGATGAGTCTGGAAAATGTTGTTAAGCAGAACTGCCCCAGGGCAGTTAAGGACACTCTGCAGCCCGTGAAGAGCGGCCACCAAGTTTTCTCATTTTTATATGTACCATAAGGTACATAAAATATGTATAATGTGCATGTAGTCCTAGATGTACAGCCACAATTGTGCCCCAAATCTCCTTTGCCAAGTGAGACAGTTCTTAAAGGAGTTTTGCCCCATTTTATGACCTTTCTCATCACAGCTGTTAAGCAAATCACTGCAGCTGTTAAGTTAGTAACACAGTCGTTAAGTGAATCTGGAATAATAATAATAATAATAATAATAATAATAATAATAATAATAGTAGTAGTAGTAGTAGTAGTAGTAGTAGTAGTAGTAGTAGTAAAGTTGGAAGGGACCTTGGAGGTCATCTAGTCCAACCCCCTGCTCAGACAGGAAACCCTGTACCATTTCAGACAAAGGGCTGTCCAGTCTCTTCTTTAAAACCTCCAGTGTTGGAGTACCCACAACTTCTGGAGGCAGGTTGTTCCACTGGTTAATTGTTCTAACTGTCAGGAAGTTTCTCCTTAGTTCTAGGTTGCTTCTCTCCTTGATTAGTTTCCATCTCTCCTTGATTAGTTAGCTTGCCCCATTAAATCTGCTTGTCAGAAGGTCATAAAAGGGAATCACATGACCCCGGGACGCTGCAACCGTCTTAAGTACATGCCAGTTGCCCAGCGTCTAAATTTTGATCAGGTGACCCTGGGGAGGCTGCAATGGTCGTAACTGTGAAAAACGGTCATAAGTCACTTTCTTCAGTGCCGTTGTCGCTTTGAATAGCCACTAAATAAACTGCGGTAAGTCGAAGTCTACCTGTACGTAATATTATATAAATTAATACATTAGTACAGTGCTCAACCTTTGCTTCACCATGGACCCCACCCTTTAAATACCTTTTGTGGCCATGGACCCCCAAGACCTAACTCAAGATTTAAACCGTAACGTTTTGTCAAGCCTTCATGGACCCCCCTGTGACATCGTGGGCCCCTCCAGGGGTTCACGGACCACAGGTTGAGAACCACCGCATTAGTACATATTAGCTGTACTTAAGTTGGTGTTCCTACAATAAATCCTTAATGAGATCGAGTTACGTTTTTGCCCTGTGCCTGCCCATTTTTCTTCTCGGGATCCCACAAGGTTTTTTTTGGGGGGGTTGTGGTTTTTTTGAAGCAAGGTCTTCCTGGTCACCCGAAGCTGAAGGCCAAAATGGCTTTTGCTTACAGAAAGTTCCCCCCCCCTCCACCTTCAAACAAGATTTACTTTGTTAACCTAGCTTGCCACTCAACGGCTCAACCCACCGTCCACGCTGTAACTGTAGACTGCCACTGTTGACCTTTCCATTAGGTTTTCGTCGTGGTGCCAACTCACAGCCATTCTCCCCATGCCAAAATAGGGCTCTGGTTTCAAGGACGGCATTTCCTGGGGATCCATATAATTTAATAACGTCAGGTTGTAAGATGTTCTCTCTTCCAGGACGGTGGAGTCACTCTTCGGGACCGGAGAAGGGTTTTGATCTCGCAAAACAGCTTCCATCTCGGTAATGTTAGGAGCATAATCTTGATTCCCGTCCCCGAGGGGTGAATTCTGCATTCCGGGTGTCTCGGCCAAATCCCGCTCTTGCAAACTCAGCAAAGATTCTGTCTGCAAGTAGTCATTCAGCCGGAGGAAGGCTTTACAAGCCAGAGATATTTCAGGATTTGAATAGTTGATGTCATAGCCTTCTGTAGGCCACGGGACTGTAAATAACCTTGTGTTTAAATATTTGTAAGTGCACCCCGGGTTCCCAATTAATACACGAGACACGGGGGTAACAAAATCCTTCCCTTTGATCCTTACAAGGTCTTGGAAGAAACAAACATGCTTTCGTAAAGTGGAAAAGGCTGTCTGGACTTCTTTGTGGATGTCTTGAGGGATCTTCTCGGAGTTCTTGAGAAGAAGTTTGGAATATTTAGTCTTCCACTAAAAAGAAAAAGAAAAGATAAATCATTCTGATACATGTTTGATGCTTATGATGGAGAGAGCGTTATATATCAAGATTTCAACTGAATTACCCATCTGATCCTTTGTCTATGGACATTCTGAATCATCCAGGTCATGGTTGTTCCAGAGGTGCTTTGTTTTTCCTTGAAGACATTTTGCTTCTCATCCAAGAAGCTTCTTCAATTCAACAACAACAACAACAACTTCTTCTTCTTCTTCTTCTTCTTCTTCTTCTTCTTCTTCTTCTTCTTCTTCTTCTTCTTCTTCTTCTTCTTCTTCTTCTTCTTCTTCTTCTTCTTCTTCTTCTTCTTCAGAACTGAAGAAGCTTCTTGAATGAGAAGTGAAACATCTTCAAGGAAAAACAAAGAAAGTCCAGTTCCCTTTTGAAAAAAGGACCTTGGGGACATCTAATCCTTTGGAAACTGCTCAAGTGCCCTCTGAAAACCCATGGATCCATTAGAGACCTTGGGCTAACTGATCTACGAAGAGAAGGATCACCACTGTGAAACGCCATAGAGTGGGATCTGTCGATGTCAAGGTGCCAAGCTCAGTGGACATCTTCCCCAAATTTTCAAACCACACTGCTCCTGCCCCAAGCTGGAAAGCAGATCTTAAGAGTATGACCTTTTATGTGCATTGGGCCTTGAACAGGCTGATCCCAGTCTAGGGTTGCAGTGGACACGACACAACAGATTTCTCCTCCAGGGAAGGTGAGTTGATATCCTCTCCATATCATCAGTTTGAGGAGCTCCACAAACATACCAAGATTTAGGTGGAGCAGCTCTGGCAGGGAATATAGTAGGGTAACAGCAAGACTTTTTGTCCCACCAGGTCCAATTGCACAAACGAGGTCTCACGTATGGCTATTTGCAGAATAGTGCATGCCAACAGGAGCCCCACAGATAACAACAGCAAAATAGCACTTCCTCATGGGTAGTTGCCCGTATTTCTCCGAAAGAATCAGACAAGTGCCAAAAGCAACTGCACAACGTAACAGAACATCTAAGCGAAAACATGGCCCACTTCTTTGGAGGTCATAACATCTCACTCTTCCTGTTAAACACAGGAGCTAATCTTGTCAGACGTATTTATTAATGCCAGCCAAGGAAGAGATAATTACAGATGCTGGCAGTCATTAAACCAAACTAGACTGATCTTCAACAGTTAAGGTGTGAACATTTGAACTAGATTGTGATGTTTCTCTGTGTCATATATGTGCGTGTATGTGTAAAATTTCATTTTAATGTATGGTGATTAATGTACATTTAAAGTGACAATAAAGTTTCTATTCTATTCTATTCTATTCTATTCTACTCTATTGTGTTCTGTTCTGTTCTGTTCTCCATTCTATTCTATTCTATTCTATTCTGTTCTATATTCTATTCTTTTCTATTATCTATTCTGTTCTATCTGTTCTCTATTCTATTCTATTCTATTCTATTCTCTATTTTGTTCTGTTCTATTCTCAATTTGTTCTCTATTCTATTCTATATTCCATTCCATTCCATTCCATTCCATTCCATTCTATTCTATTCTATTCTATTCTATTCTATTCTATTCTATTCTATTCTATTCTAGTAAGTAGCTCACTTTCGGGGCAATTCCTCAACATCCTTCCTAGACAAGGAAGTTGAGAAAATATCCCAGAAGGCGACACTGGCCAGCCAGTATCTATATACTAATTGTGACTATACAGGTACTCCTCGACTTACCAGTTTGTTAAGTTACAACAGCTCTGAAAAAGTGACATATAATTGGTTTTCACAGTTAACAACTGTTGCAGCATCCCGATGGTCACATGATCAAAATTCAGATGCTTGGCAACCGACTCACGTTTATGAGAGTTGCAGTGTCCAAGAGTCACTGGATCCCCTTTTGCGACCTCCCGGCAAGCAAAGTCAATGGGGAGAGCAGATTCACTTAACCAAGTTGCCTATTTAATAATTACAGTCATTCATTTAGCAGCTGTTTCAAGACAGGTCGTAAAATAGGGCAAAACTTGCTAAACTGTCTCGCTTAGTAACAAAAATTTGGGGCTCAGCTGTGGTCGTAAATCGAGGACTGCCTGCATTGTCCCCGAAAGAAACTTTACTTTTAAATAAGATACAGTATATTTACCTTTGGACTTGTGAAGTTAAGCATCCTATTAATACATCTTAAATACTGCCTGCCTGGTTTCTGTGCTTTAAAAGAAATCTATTTTTTTTTAAAGTAACTAAGGCAGTGGTGGCGAACCTATGGCACGGGTGCCAGAGACGGCACTCAGAGCCGTCTCTGTGGGCACGTGCGCCGTCGCCCCAGTCCTAGGCCTTCAGCTGGATTTTATAAAACCTTTTCGCTTTAGGTCTCCGTCACCAAGTGCAAAAAAAAAAAAGGTTCAATCAGTCAATTTCAACTTCTCGCGGGGGAAAAAAAGATCTTGCAAAGTTGGAATTGATTGATTGAACTTTTTAGTCCCACCCAGTCTGCCGTTACCACCGCAGCCACGCCCACCCAATGGGCCACACCCACCCAATAGGCCACACCCACCCGACACTCGACGATGCATAAGTGGGTTTTGGGTTGCAGTTTGGGCACTCGGTCTCTAAAAGGTTCGCCATCACTGAACTAAGGAGTCCTTGGTGCTCTCTGAGCTTGCTTGTTTTCTTGCAGGTGTTTCATGACCCAAACTAGGAAACTAGGATGTTTCCTAGTTTGGGTCATGAAACATCTGCAAGAAAAGATGATCAGGGGACTGTAGGCTAAAGCATATAAGGAACGGCTGCTGGAATTGGGTCTGTCTAGTCTAATGAAGAGAAGGACGAGGGGGAACATGATAGCAGTGTTCCAGTATCTCAGGGGCTGCCCCAAAGAAGAGGGAGTCAAACTATTCTCCAAAGCGCCTGAAGGCAGGACAAGAAGCAACGGATGGAAACTAATCAAGGAGAGAAGCAACCTAGAACTAAGGAGAAACTTCCTGACAGTCAGAACAATTAACCAGTGGAACAACCTGCCTCCAGAAGCGGTGAATGCTCCAACACTGGAAGTTTTTAAGAGGAGACTGGACAGATCATTTGTCTGAAATGGTATAGGGTTTCCTGCCTGAGCAGGGGGTTGGACTTGATGACCTCCAAGGTCCCTTCCAACTTTATTATTACTATTACTAAAACAAGCAAGCTCAGGGAGCACCAAGGACCCCCCCTCATTTCAACCCTGAGCTGCAAATATTCTCCTTCAAAAGAGGAAATGGAAACATATTTCTAACGCATCATCCAAAAATACCAATCAGGCTACTTCCATTCTCTAGCCAGGCATCCTGCTTTGTCCTACATGAGGAAGACATTAAGAGATCAGAAGACAAAGAGAGGTTGAGAGAAAAAGAGAGGAAGAAAAAAAACGAGAGAAAGGAAACACACACACACAAACACGAGCTCGGAGTGGACATTCTTACTGATTGAAGGAACAAAAATCATGTCTCTTCTGCTGCTATCTCTGACAGCTACTATTAAAAGTCGTCCCACTTTTTTGCACAGATCAAAGCAGCCCTAAACAAATCCAAAAAAAACAAAAAGAGCATACAAAAGTTTTTCAAGCTTAATTTTTTTAACACGCCCGTTATCCCAGAACAAAATTTAACACGCTCAGAGCAACCTGAGGTCAAGTGATATATTTTTAGCTGTCTACAAATCATACAAGGCCTCTGTTTTTGTTTTTCCTTTCAGTCAAGATGACCTTGTCACTCAAGCGACAACAGCAGCCCCACAAACTTGGCCAAGCCATCTTTGGCCTAAACAAGGTGGCGCTTCAGTTCTCTGCGGGGAGATAATAACATTTGGATCAAGATATTTAGATGTTTCTAAATGGCCACCTTCCCAATTTGGATGCCCAACCTGATGATTTCTGCCTACATGGAGACTTAATCCTAAAAAGATCCTTAAGGAAGAACTGCTGTTCTAGCTGTTCAAACTAAGAAAAAGATTCGATTTTTTTTAGGTCTTTCGTTTGGCATTTTCCAATAGAATAGAATTAGAATAGAATTAGAATAGAATAGAATTAGAACAGAACAGAGTAGAGTAGAGTACAGTAGAATGTAGAGTAGAGTAGAGTAGAGTAGAGTAGAGTAGAGTAGAGTATAAAATAGAGTAGAATATAGAATAGAATTAGAATAGAATAGAATAGAATAGAGTAGAATATAGAATAGAATAGAGTAGAGTAGAGTAGAGAATAGACTAGAGTAGAGTAAATATAGAATAGAATAGAATAGAATTAGAATAGAATTAGAATAGAATAGAATAGAATTAGAACAGAAGAGAGTAGAGTACAGTAGAATATAGAATAGAATAGAATAGAATAGAGTAGAGAATAGAATAGAATAGAGTAGAGTAGAGTAGAATATAGAATAGAATTAGAATAGAATAGAGTAGAGTAGAGTAGAGTAGAATATAGAACAGAATAGAATAGAGTAGAGTAGAGAATAGAATAGAGTAGAGTAGAGTAAATATAGAATAGAATAGAATAGAATAGAATAGAATAGAATAGAATAGAATAGAATAGAATAGAATAGAATAGAATAACAAAGTTGGAAGGGACCTTGGAGGTCTTCTAGTCCGACAGGAAACCCCATATCATTTCAGACAAATGGATGTCCAGTATCTTCTTAAAAACTTCCAGTGTTGGAGCACCCACAATATCTGGAGGCAGGTTGTCCCACTAACAAATTGTTCTCGCTGTTAGGAAATTCCTCCTTAGTTCTAGGTTGCTTCTCTCCTAGATTAGTTTCCATCCGTTGCTTCTTGTCCTGCCTTCAGGTGCTTTGGAGAATAGCTTGACTCCCTCTTTTTGTGGCAGCCCCTGAGATATTGGAAGATTGCTATCATGTCACCCCCTAGTCCTTCTTTTCATTAAACTAGATATAAATGGGAGGGGAGGTCAGCTTGGAAAAACCATTCCATAATATTACATTATTATATGTTTTATTGGTATTGTATCCTTCCATTTTTAGTGTCTTTCTTGGATGCAATACTAAGCATTCCTGTAAAAGCTAAAGGTTTCTTTGTCGAGTTGTGGTGCTTATCTCCATTTCTTAGAGAAGGAGGCAGCATTGTCCGAAGACATTTTCCATGATCATGTGGCCAGC